TCCCAGGTACCCAAGCTTCGATTTGCCTATTTTCACCAAGTTTTGTTAAACAATGTATTTCCATAACATCAAAGTTGGTTCAAGATAGCAATTCCAAGGCTTGGAATGACCTAGACATCATATATTGGATCAAGCTTGGTTGAAGCCGCGTGGTTGAAGCTCGGAATTCCAAACCTGGGCCATAATCGAAACTACCTTGGTATACAAGCTTGTATTTGCATTATATCACCAAGCTTGGTTTAACCATGACAATTCCCTAGAATCAAGGTTGGTTCAAGCTAGCAATTCCAAGGCTTGGAATGACCTAGATATGATATATTGAATCAAGCTTGGTTCAAGCTAGGAATTCCAAAGCTTGGTATCCTAAGCTGATCCAAGCTTGGACCCATCGTCCAAGCTTGGATTTCCCCACCTGGGTTGCGATGATAGACCGTCTAATTTTCCTTCAAATAATAGCATCTCCTGGATAGACGTATAATATCCCGTAGATATGGGACTCATGGCGTTAATACACGTGGTGGTGGTGGTGGTGGTGGTGGTGGTGGTGTTAAGTATCAGTATTTTATCCAGTTTTTTTTTCCTATTTAATATAATGCCGTCTCCAGAGATGTCGGGCAGGCATTACGAGCCCAGCCTCGAGGAGCTCACCAGGGTGCGTAGAGTGCTCTTCCCCGCGAGTCCTGCGCACTCACCAGATCTGGGGCCATCCGGATACGATCCTCAGCCGGAACCATCAAGGAGGAGGCCCGAAGCCTGGAGCCCTCCAGATAAGCGCCGAAGGAGCCTGGACACATGGTTACTACCGCTGGGGGCCCCAAGATCACCGTCCCCCGTTTGGAGTCATGGGACCGACTCCGACGAGACGGATTGGGAGGCCCCTCCAAGACCCATTCCTGGTTTTGGAGAGCTGTCGAGCCCCGAATTCGACGCGGTGGTTGCGGCGGGTGCGGCGAGAGTCCGGCGGCAGCTGGCCGAAGATTGCGGAGGGCTCACCAGGAAGAGTGATTTTTGCACATATTTTTAAGTGATATTTGTATATTTTGTATTTAATATATATTTATATTGTCATTTGTATATATTGTAATTGTAATTGTAATTTTATTATTAATATGTATTTGTCATCTGTTTATTAATAAATTTATAATTATATTGGAAATTTTTTGTGTATTTCAACACTTCCACACCAGTTTGTTCCATCGTCTTGCCTCGTTCCTTTTCTCGTGGCTTGTCGGTTCTCTCGTTCCCTCATTCTCTCGTTCTCTCGTTCTCTCGGTCTGTTGCTTTGTCCTCATTGAATTAGTTTCCATCGATCCTAGTTTCTTTGTTTCGAGGATTTTTCTCGGTGCAGGGTTTCGTCGTTTTTTCATCCTCTTGTTTGCGCGGTTGCTCCTCGTTCAATTTCTTTCCATCATTGTAGGTGGCGCTGCCGTGGAATTAGCCATTGCTTCTTGATAATGGTTAAGTGTAATTCTTTATTATTTTAGATTATATCTTCATACTCACAAAATTTCTTTTAACGCATTCACAATTATCGCCTCGCAAAACTAATGGGAATTATGAGAATATATGCAGTCTTCAATATGAGGCCACCGCGTGCTGATATCGCACTACAAGCCAGTCAGAATAAATCAACATTTTTAGCGGAAATAATTCAAATGCACTCACCGTTTCACATCTGCGTACGGCCTATGTCTTGGAGAGACATATTTATAAAACTGGAAGAGTATTTAAGCGAAAAATATCTTATTAACAAAAAAAGCCAAACAATAACGGATGTAAAATATAAAACAATGTGCGTTTTGAACTTTCCGGGTTTTGGCGCAGTCCGAGGAGTTATCACCGGCGATAACTCCTCGGTAACGATAACGAACATGTTGCAAATCCATCTGTTTGATTTATGCCAGGTAGTTTATGTGCAAAGGCAGAATGTATTTTATCTGGAAGAAGAAGACTTGCGATAGTTCCCCCCATTATTGTTAACATATCATTTAGTTGGATGCCAGCCCCCGCCCACCGGTTGGAATGATAATGATATTTTTGATATGAACGAAATGGTGATCGGAGAACAATGTGTTATTCAAATAATACAGGAATTCAATGCCGCCAGTGCACTTGTAACTATGAATTTCAAAGAAACCAAAAGCAACCTGCTTGATTACATATTTGCTCCCGGCATAGGTATTTCTACTACACGGTCAAAGTTTATGACAATACGGGGGCCTGGCTAGAAATGTAAACACAGCAGGGATATACAGGGTGTCCGAGATAAAATTGTACACCCAAATAACTATTGAATGTGGGTAGTTATCGAAAAATCTTTCAAATAGAAGTTGTAGGGCTCCAAGTGTGAAAAATAATGAGACATGTTTTGAGCATTTAAGTCTTCATGTTTTTATGCTACAAGCATAAGTTCATTTTTTTCATATGGGATCAAAAATGTTCTTGTAACAAAAGTTGTTGTACTCGATGAGATGAATCTAATGATGTCACACATAATGTGTTTTTTATGCTTTCTGAGCTCAAAAATACTAAAATGGACCTTGTCAACGATATTCCAAATTCAGACATGATAAACAGAAAGTGGCCTTTAAATAAGAACCAGTAAACACCAAACTGTAAATACCAGAGCTATCTGGTGGACCTTAGTGTTTATTGTTTCTTAGTTAGTACGAATCGGGTCATTATTGAGTTCAGATTATTTTTGAGTGATTTCGCGTATCACGGTTTATTCTGCAAATGAAGTTGTGGATATTCTACTGGTTTTGGGAGAATGCCGAGGTGCATATCGCGCGACCGCTCGATTGTATCGACAACGGTACCGAAACCGATTACGTCATCCCTCAGCTTCATGCATTCGGAGTATCGAGAGAATTGTCGAAGAGGAAGAGTTCTGCAATGACGACAACGACAACAACGGATGAATCCTGACAATCCTCGTACGCTTACCGTTTTGGCCATGGTTCACATGAACCCTCACATCTTTTTAAGAGCAATTGAGAGAGATTCAGGTATTCCCCGAAGCACAGCTCACGACATTTTGAAATCGAACCGTTACCATCCATATCATATCAGATTCACACAAGCACTGCCTGCACAAGATAGACAGAATCGTGTTGCTTTTTGACACTGGGCCATAGGGATCTTGAACAAAAGTCCCGAGTTTTTCCAAAATGTCCTTTTCAATGATGAAGCGACGTTTAAAAGTACTGGCGCATTAAACCGTCATAATTCCCATTAATGGTCTATGGAAAATTCTCACTGGACTCAGCACATTGACCACCAGCATCAGTGGAGTGTAAATGTGTGGTGTGGCATTGTTGATGGGCAAGTGATTGGGCCGTATTTTTTCAACGGAACAGTCACGGGTCAACGCTATTTACAGTTTTTACAAGATGACCTCCCAGTTTTATTGGAACATGTACACTTTGACACAACACTAAGAATGTGATTTCAACAAGACTGTGCGCCACCGCATTTTGCACTTTGTGTAAGGAATTATCTCAATGTTCTGTTTCCTCGTCGTTGGATCGGCAGAGGTGGCCCTGTTCTTTGGCCTCCGCGATCACCTGATCTAACTCCACTTGATTTTTATTTATGGGGTTACATTAAAGATGTAGTCTACAAAAATGAACCAACGACTGCAGAAGACATGAAAACACGTATCAGAGGCGCTATTGCCAACATTCCTCAACAAGCGCTTCGAAATGTTATGCAAAGTTTCTGACGTTGACTTGAGTTGTGTCTTGAAGTGAATGGTGGGAACATTGAGCACTTGTTGTAACGTCTTTCCAGTAGAACAATCCATTGGCGCCTTTTTGTTTCTCCTTTATTTTTCAGTTTATCGTGTCTGAATTTGGAATATCGTTGACAAGTTCCATTTTTAATATTTTTGAGCTCAGAAAGCATAACAAACACATTATATGTGACATCATTAGATTCATCTCATCGAGTACAACAACTTTTGTTACAAGAAAATTTTTGATCCCATGTGAAAAAAATGAACTTATGCTTGTAGCATAAAAACATGAAGGCTTAAATGCTCAAACCATATCTCATTATTTTTCCCACTTGGAGCCCTACAACTTCTATTTGAAACATTTTTCGATTACTACCCACATTCAATAGTTATTTGGGTGTACAATTTTATCTTATAACTTTTCTTTTGCAAATTTTATTAATTTGTTATTTTTCTCATGATTCGTATTTTTTGTGGAGGTCAAAGCGAGGCGCAGCATGAAAGAGATCCACAGCCGAGTGGCACCCGCATTGCACCCCAGGAGATTCAATTGGATCCACCCAGGGACCCGGTACCAGGTGCAGAATCTAGATTGCACAAGATAAGTGATAGTGTCAAAGAATTTAGACGTTTCAAATCATTAAGACGCGAAATGGTGTTTAAAATATCGAAACCCCCAAAAGATGTAGCAGATATCAATTGGATTAATTCGCTGGCTCAAGATATTTTAGAAATAATTAAAGAACGTGTCGTTCACAATGATGCATGTGGCGCTCAATTCGGGTATACACACGCAGAGAAGGAACCAACACGCAAGCCAAGTTACCTCACACCACGTTCGATATCTCAAATAAAAATTGAGGATATCGTTAAATTGCTCACCCGCCTCTCGCAAAGTGGTACCGAAATTCTTCGGGATAGTAATTTTTTCCTCAACTTGCACTTCACTGAAAACGTCATCGGCGCAGGCCGAAATCGAACTACATCCAAAGGCAAATTTCGCGGCATCATCGAAATCACTAACAAAGATAATATGTGTTTGGCACGATCCATTGTGGTGGCAAAAGCAGATTCACAGAAGAAAGCAGGCACTATAACCATTGATGAATGGAATAGTATTCGTGCTTGTAATGGAGCGCTGCAGACTTGTAAAGCTACTGCTTTAGTGAGAGCTTCGGGTATCCCGCTACTGAAGAACGGGTACGGTATTGATTTAATTAAAACTTATCAGCGCATTGTCATTAACGAAAAAAATGCTCTCATAGTATGGCGAGTGGAAAAGTCAGAAAACCCTGTAATGATGTATGATGGTCGCATAGCATTCGATGGCAAATCCGACGGTGTTGTGTTAGATATCGGTTATTTTCCACAGGATAAACATTATCAGCCCATTACAGATGTTAAAAAACTGTTCAATGGTGCTGAATATTTTTGTCGCGAGTGTTGCGTGGCATATAAATGCCACAATAGTCATCGGTGAGAAAATGTGTGTAAAAAATGTTACAAATCCCCTGCGTGCGACCCTCATGCTCGTTATAGGCCCTGTAATCTCTGTAACCGCCATTTCTACGGGGACAATTGTTTCAATAATCATGTTACCGTAGGCCCTCGAAACGGAGCTTCTATTTGCCAGTCTGAAAGGTATTGCGGTCAGTGTAATAGAAGAATTGTCTTGAATATGCCCCATGACTGTAATAAATCACACTGCTCTGTCTGTGAAAAACTTCAACCGTTCGGACACTATTGTTATATGCCTCAGGTGATCACAAAGCCTAGAAAATCCAAAAAATGTAATTTTTTCTTATATTACGATTTTGAAGCTCGTCAGGATGAACACCTGATCAAAAATAATTGTGTGATGAAGGAAAAATTACATATTCCAAATCTTTGTTTCTTCTTCACAAGTAGTGTGCCAACAGTGCTGTGATTTGCAGGCATCAGAGTGTGAAAATTGTAATAAACCCGAAAAAATTTTCATTGAGGAATCGGGGCACATAATTAATCAATTCTTAAATTATGTTGAACAACTCTCCCTATCGAAAAACGTTTTAAACCTAACATGCATAGCTCATAATTCCCAGGGATATGACGCCCAATTTATTTTTCAACACATATTGCAATATAACTTCACACCCCGCGTTCAACCGATCATTTCCGGTACTAAAATTATAATGCTCAAGATTGGAGAGAAAATTAAATTCATTGATAGCCTGAATTTTTTCCACATGCCGCTCTCTGCTTTTCCCAAGACGTTTGGAATACCTAATCTTTTGAAAGGCAAATTTCCCCATCTTTTCAATTTTCGTGAGAATTGGAATTATGTCGGTGATTTACCAGCCAAAGAAGACTGGTCACCCCAAACAATGAAAAAGAAAGAACGTGAAGAGTTTGAGGAATGGGATGAAGAAGAACTTCGGGCCCGGAAAGTATTTAATTTTAAGGACGAAATTATTAAATATTGTAGGGATGATGTAACTATTTTGCGAGAGGCGTGTACCGCGTTTAGAAATCTCAATAAAACCATATCAGGTATCTGTCCATATTCTGAATGCACAACGTTGGCTTCGCTCTCTATGCGTACTTATAGGAAAATGTTCTTGCAAGAAAATACAATCGGCATAATTCCGCGTGGAGGGTATCGTTTGTGTAGGAATCAATCAAAAGCGGCGATCGAGTGGCTCATGTGGATGGAACATACAAGAAATATAGACATTACTCATGCCGGTAAATCTCGTGAATTCAGAATACCTGGAACAAACCATGATGTCGATGGGTACTATAAAGACGCAAATGGCGCAGAGTTTGTATTCCAGTTTCACGGGTGTTACTGGCATGGATGTCCTGTATGTTACACCATACAACGAGAGAAGAAACTGCACAATTTCGATAGTCTCCAAGAGCGGTATGACCGGACTATCGCTTGTGACGAAATTCCAGGCGAATCCGTCACCTGTATTCCAGTAAGGTAACTACCTAGTTAAGGGCGAGAGAGAACGGCGGAGATTTAAGAAAATACTCGACCAACACGAATCCCGGGGCCCACATCAATTAGCTACCTGATA